AGGGAGAGTTTTCGTTCCCGGTTGCCTCCGGGCAGGACAGAGGAGAGAGAGAGAAGCGCTCCTGGGTCTCTTCCCGGTTGCTGGCTAAAACCCAGAACTGGAATCTGTCTTGTAATTGAAACGTCGAGGGGGGGAAAAAAGGAAATATTTACACAGCTGTGTGCTTGCCCCGAATTGAAACCTAAGCCGTTCCCGCAAACGGACCACGTGGGGCGATTGTAGCAGCCTAATTTCTGGTTCGCCTCTTCCCGTCATGCTACAGGATCCTGAGGACTAGCGACTTCATTTTGAAGCGGAACGTCAGGCCTCCTTTTTCGTGGCAGTCCCAGTGTTTGAGCAGGGTGGATCAAAATCCATGACTTGTAAAAATCAAATGGATTAAAATCACAGTTTAAATGGTGGGGGGGGGGAGGAGGAGAAACAAGCCTTTTCCCCCCCAAATATTTGAATCATTTAGCAAAATCCGATTTTGAAAATCTAAATTGTGACTTAAGTCAGATTCACCCTGCTTTCGAGCCCCTGGCTCTCGTCCCTTTCATCTTCCCTCGATAAGGCGGTTGTGCAGCGGACGGTTGATTTTCAGCCTGATTTTCAGTGTGTGTGGGGGGGTGGCGGGTTTGTCAGGCTGCTAATTCTGCCTCCCGAGGGGACGAGCCTGGGCGTTCCCCGAACCAGTCCTTCCAGAAACGTTTTGTGGTATGCACGATTCCCGGGAGAGATAAACAGAGGCCAGGATCGGTCCTGGAGGCAGCAAAAGGGATTCCCCCCCTCCTGAAGCCATCTTTTCTGATGCTGGAGGAATCCGGCCACACACTCGAGGGACGAGCAGTAGTGACTTTAACAAACTTTTCCCTTTGAACTGTGGTTTTCGCCTCTGCCCCGATCACACGAGAAGTGGGGTGGTGGGGCAGGGGCAATCTCCGCGGGCTAACAGAGGTGAACCCCATAACGCAGACTTTAAACGTTCCTGCGGGCAGGCTTCCCCCAGCTGCTTTATGGAAGACAGGTGAACCCCAATTTACTCTGTGTAGCAGCGTTTAAGATGAGAGACGTCTCTGGCTCTGCCTCGAACCCAGATCTGTAGGCCTTCCCTACATATTTAGGATTATGTTTCTGAATTTATTTTTTTTAAGTCTGGTTTTTTTAAATGTATTGTCCCTTCGGGAATCGTGCATGAACGCCCCTCTTTTTCTACCGTACGCGGACCTCCCCGTCCGATTCGGCGGCCCGACTCATTCCCGTCCTGGCCAGGTTGGCGGATTTCTGCAGCGGGAGGAAAGCGTCCCGGAGTCCATCGGCCACAGGGCCGGTGTCCTTTCTCCCCGTTCCGAAACCAAGACTCGGAGGTGCACGGATGGTGCAAAGAGGAGGGCCAAGGGCCCGGCTTGCAAAGGGGTTTCTTGCCTGGCGAGGTTTCTGAATTGGGGGGCAGCGAAGGAAGAAGATGGTGTGGAGGTGGCCGGCCAGATGGCTAGCATGATAAACCTTGTTGGGGGGGAAGCATAGAAGGTGTGGCACCGGGGCAGCGTCTGGGATCTCAGAAGCCCCTCGTTCGAATCTTACCTCTGCTGCCCGCCTCTTGGGGGCATGGGGAGAGCTGCTGCTCTCTCGGTCCAAGGCTGTTCTCTCGGCGATGACACCGGCCTGCTTGGCAGGGTTGTCGTCTAGTCGTCCCCTGCCACGACTTTCCAAAGGGCGAGAATGGATATAAAAACTTAGCCGATCCATGGGCTGCTCGCCTGGGGCGAAGGGAGGCACCCAGGTGAGCCAGCTCCATAAAGACCAGTGTCTTTTCCCCCTCTCTCTTACCCCCCTCTTGTCTCGTCCGGTACAGTTACAGGCTCAGAAGCTGCGGCTGGCCCACAGCCGAGGCCCGTACTATGGCGGCTCCTTGCCCAACGTGAACCAGATCGGGAGTGGTGCCTCCGATTTTCAGGTAAGGCTTTTCGTTTTGAGCCCTTCCCGACCGGGCCAAGGCGAGCCAAAGGTGGGGAGGTCCCTTTGGGTTGCCCGTCCGGCCTTAAGATGATGGGCTCAGTGGCCCAGGAGCTCCCCGTAATGAACCTGTTTTTCTTTTACTCTGGGCTTTTAAGACTCGGGTGGCAGGCAGAGGCCCAACAGGTGCAGCTTCTCCGTCCATGTGCTGGTCTGAGTTTGTCATCAAGGCAGCTCTAATGAGGACACCCGGGCTGATAAGAAGCTGTACAGTTCAGGCGTAGTGGGCTGAATCCGGCCCTCCGTGGTGTGTGTCTACAACAGGAAAAACATGAGGATCTTCCTGGAAAACCTTCCTATCTCTGGGTGTTTGCGATTCTCCCTGCCAGGCCAGCCAGCAATCCCCTGGGTCCTTGGGGATCCCCTCCCACATTGGATCAAGGCTAGGAGGAAAATCTTTGGCATTCTGAAGAATCAGCACTATCTTCTTCTTTTTTTACATTGGCCAGTCGCGTTAAGAGGAGCTGATAAACATTGCAAAATGAATGCCGTGCTTGTTTATATCTGTGTGTGGGCTGTGTTTTATTGGGGCGGCGGCGGGGGGGGGGGAATCTGTCCATGAAGGCAGGGTGGATTTGACATGAATCAAATGGATTTAAATCACACTTTACATGTTTAAAAAATTGATTTTTTTTTGACTGTTTAAATTTTAAAAATGGAGTTTAGGTCTTTCAATTGTGAAGTAAATCAGTTTGATTTTAAACAATCATTGATTTTTATCCGCCCTGGTTTGAGGGTGGGTGAGAATGCAGCCTCCCCCCACCCACCCCCAAGAAGTGCTGGCGGTGACACAAGCGTTGTTCTTACGGTCCCTGCTGTGAGTGTGACGGTTGTGTTGATTTCCAGCGACAAAAGACAGGGGACCAGGGTGGCTCACAGGAGCCCTGAACCCACACGCACAATGAAAACAAATGTTATTTGGAAGTTAAGTGAAAAAACCTCTCTTGATTGGCCCCGGCTGTCACGCAAGATCCCCAGTGTGGTGTAGTGGATCGCGTGACAGATGTGGGAGGCTGGAGCCCCGGGTTTGAATCCCCCGTTCAGCCACGGAAACACTCTGGGGAAGTGGAACTGGTAAACACCCCTCCTTAAGTACCTCCCTTACCTAGAGAAACCCTCTTGGAGTCGGCATCTAAGAACAGTCCCGGTCACGAAAGACAGCAAAGGGAGGCAGGTGTGGGAGACCTTTAGCATGTGGCAGTGGGGCCTTTGCTTCCCTCCCCTGCTGATCTGACCCACAGATCTGGCACCCCCACCTCCATCATCGGGGGTGGGGTTCTCTTTCCTGGCTGCACCAGGAACGGGGCAGAACCGTTCTGCAGAAAAATGCCCATTTGAGGATGTGGTTCTCTGCCTTCTGCCGGTTACATTTTGGGAATCTCGTTTCCGGTTCGATTTCATCCCGCTTCTGCCCCTCGCTCAAATCTCTCTCGATTTCTCTGTGTTTCCGTCGCCAGGGCCCTCTGCACTCCCCTCTGGACACGGCCCGGGGCACACGGCACCACGGCTTGGTGGAACGGGTGCAGCGAGACCCTCGGCGGATGGTGTCGCCTCTTCGCCGCTACATGCGTCAGATATCCTTTTGGCCTTGGGCATCTTATCTCTCTTCCCCCCCCCGCTTCGCCCCGGGTCAATCCCTCCGCCCCCCTCCAGCAGGAGCCGGGAGTTCATTCTCTCGGCCCTTTGGGGATTAAAGAGCATTAGCGGAAAATTTGCTGCTGGGGAGCCATCTGTGGATCTGGGTTCTGTCGGCCGCAAACCCTCCTTTCCCCACCCAGCCCGGCTCTATAAACATCTTCCTTAACCCTCTCCTTACATCGACAGTTCCCCCTACAGCCCTGCGTACCTGTCCCCTCCTGCCGAACCCAGCTGGAGGAGGTAAAATTCCCCGTTCAGCTGGGAGGATCTGAGCGGCCTTTGTCCACAGCTTCCAGACAGATGAGAGTCCAGTAGGGGTGGGATTTTCAGATCTCAAATCCCATCATTCTCCATTCAGAGAGTTCCACCCGACCGACTTGACACCCTTACAATTGTCTGACTGTGGCTCGCCTGGGAGTATAGGCCTGAACAGGAAGGCGTTGACGCTGAGCTAGGCCTAGCTCCACCTCACTTCCTTTTCAGAAAGGAAGCACCGGGACAGGAAGCTGATGGGGGCAAACTAGGCCTAGCTGAGCATCAGAGCCTCCCAGGCGAGCCACATTTAGGCATCAGTAAGATATCCACTCCCAAAGTGGAGAATTATGGGATTTGCGATCCAAGAAATCTCAAAATCCCTGGCGTCTGGTTATCCAGGTATTACTGACCGAGAGCTGCCGTGATCCTTCACCATCGGTTACGCGCAGCTATGCCTGATGGGAACTGTGCTCCAGCTACTTACAGAGTCGGGTAGTACCTTTGCTGGACCCCTACAGTGCCATCCATACAAAGCGAGCTTTTGGTGCCAACAGGTCTCTTCAACATGACCAGGGGTCGCAGAATAAAGCGAGGGGTGGGGATGAAAAGTACATATATTATCCTGATTTCCAGAACACTGTGAAAGAAGGTCTTCTAAAGCCCCAGATGTCTACGTTTTCCCTTTCCCGTCGTCTGTTAGGAACCCTACCAGCGACCAGCCTGGCCCGGATCAGGGTCGCGTGAGCAGCTGGTCCCCTTGGGGTGGGATCTTGAGGCTTCATCGGCTGTTAGGATCCCTGCCAGCGACCGGCCCAGATCAGGGTCGCGTGAGCAGCCGGTCCCCTTGGGGTGGGATCTTGAGGCTTCGAGGCCCTGGCTTCGTTCTTGGGGTCTCCCGGGACATTTGCTACCTGCAGCCAGGGGAGAAACAGTTTTTCTCCGCTTCTGCGCTCAGCTGCCGTAGCAGCCCGGACTTTTTGCCTAAGACAGGAAGGGGCTTTCGCAAACGGCTTCCTCTCCCCGTGCGGCCTTCTCCCAGCCCTTGTCTGTTTGGGGAAATCCTTCAAGAACCAAACTCCCAAGAGCGCTGCAACACTGGAGCCATTTAAGAGAAAACGGAACCCTCTTCTCTCCGACCTGCTTTGACTTTGAGTCCTACCTTGAGCGGGAGGCTGGACTCGATGTCTTTCCAACTTCCATGATTCTGGGATTAGCAAAGTCTGCCATTTCCTGGTGGGATTGGAGGCTGCTCTTCCGGATCATGCCCCCTTTCCTACCTGGTGGCTTCCCTGTCCCCCCCCCCCTTAACTCCTGCTGTGCCCCTGTAAATTCTCCAACTTTGACAGCAGCCTCCCCACCCTGTCTTGGGCCTGCGTGGCTAAAACCATAAAGCCCTAGAGCAGAGAAGTCTGTGCTCAGTTTTAACGTGAGTTCTGCTCTTTTTTTCCTCCAGGGCCGTGCCGTGGGGCAACTTCCCGGCAGAGAAAGGACAGCTGTTCCGGCTGCCGTCGGCGCTCAACAGGTGAAGCTTTCTTGCTTCTGGTGAACACGCGCGGAGCGTGCGTGTAGGCGTACGTCCTATTTCTGAAGAGCTGGCCGCGATCGGTTGATCTGATAGGAGGAGAAAGAGGATAGGCTTCCTTTGCCAAGTGGGACGGGCCCCGGTGGGTCTTCCTCATGAGTAACGAGGATCATGAGGACCTCCTTGCTCCTGCCAAAGAAGCCAGGAAACCAGTCTGGTCTGCTTTGGCTAAAACTTTGCTGCCGCCACCAGCCTGGAAAAGCCATGATCGACGTGGTTTTATTCAGATGTTGAAACCGGCCACTTTTAGCTACCAGTTCATTTACCACGGGCAGAAGCGTAATCGTACAGGCTGTGCCGGATAGCTCAGTGGTTGAATCTCTGGCTCTGGAACCAGAGGTTGGGAGTCTGATCCCCCACTAGGTCTGCTTGACGGGCTGGACTGGTTGATCCAGAAGGTTCCTTCCAGCAAGTCTAAGATGATTATTAGGGGGAGGTTTTCTATGACATGTCACACTTTCTCTGCAACCTATACTTGAGGTTCAGTGTTTTTAATCTTACCCAGAAACAATTTTAAAGTTGTTCAGGAGTAATCTGGCCTTTCACACCAGATTATTCATAAACATGTCCAAGCCCATTTTAAAGTTTAAGCATAGGCTGCAGAAAAAATATGACATGTCATGGAAATCCTCCACCTTCTTCTTCTCATTCTTCTTACTATTAATACTAATACTTCTCCACTTTTAGGAGTGTCCGTCATGTCCCTGTGTACATGACAGACACTCTGAGGAAATGGAGGAATCTGTGCATTTACCGCGCCATTCAGAGTCAAATCAAGCAGGGTAGTGGCATTTATATTTTATTTCTCCACCTCAGGTTCTTCCTGGGTCTCACTGCCTTGTGCAGAGAGCGAGTGAGAATCCCTCCCCTTCTTTGCATGAGAAATCCTGGCCCGATGAGCTGGCCCATGTTCTCTTGTGCCAGCCTTTCTCTCTCCCCCCCCCCCCCGCTCCAAATCCTACATTTCCACTCCTCTGCTCCCTTCATCAGGCGAGAGGATGATGGAGGCCAGCCGGACGGCCGTGCGCACGCAATTCCGCTGGGTCCCGGCAACAATGCTCGCCTTGTTTGCTCCCCAGGGAGGCAGGCAGTGCTTCCATCCTCCCCCCCTTTCCTCAGCCCACGTCCTGCCGTTCCCTTGCCTCAGCTTCCCCAAAGGCATAGATAGTTAAAATGTTAGAAGCCGGCACGGGCAGGGGGTGGAGATGCTGGCGTGGCCGGGCGGGTGGGGAGAGGCAAGCTGGCGTCCCCACGTTCCAGCGAGCAAACAGGCGTTGCCTTGTCTATGTCTCTTGAGGCCTCATTAATTTGGCATCGTTTGGCTCTCCCACCCTGTTTACCCTCCGCCCGGCCTTCCCAAGCCCCTCTCCTGGGTCTTTCCAAGCTGGGTGCTAATTGAACAACACTGTTGGCTCCGAAATATGAGCATGGGGTGGAGATGTAGGGGGTTAGGCTGCAGTTCAATGGGGAAAGCTAACACAGATCTTCTCCTACCTCCACCCACCCTGTAAGGCCGGGAGAAATTCCAGTTTGAAACTCTGGCGAGGCAGAGAATGGGCTCGGCTCAATATAAACTTCTTTTCTGTGCTCCTGCTACAACCCATCTATATCTGGAACCTTGAGGACTAGTATCTTGATTCACATTTAGGGGAAGGACACCAGTTTAGCGATTGAGCGCAGGGAGAGGGTCCCAGGGCCGGTTCCCCCAGGTTGAGAAGATGATCGGCTGAGATGGTTGGGGCGAGAAATGCTAATTGAGATGGAATCAAGTCTAAGGGAGTCGGAAGCTGCTCCGACTAGCCTTAAATCAGCAGTTATACCTTTTTTACATTGGCCTTTTTTACATTGTACCAGACTTCAGCTTCCAGAGGTCCTGGCCGACAAGATCAGTTGGGAGAGTTTCGGGGTGTGTGTGTGTGGAAATCCAGAACATCTACTAGGAAACTTCTGCCCTCTGATAATAAGGAGATTCAGATATACATACACACTGAGACACGCATCCCTACCTCTGTCGGAGCCACATATGGAAGTAACAAGAAGATAAAAAGTAGAATATTTCCTGTTTCACTTCGATCTATGTCTGCTTTCGGTCAGCACAGCCAGTTGTTAAAAGCGTGACCTTATTTCTTTTTAATCCCGGCGCTCTGCATTTTCCCGTGTGTCTCTGCCCACAGAGTGGAAACGACAGGGCCTCCTCCTCCTCCTCCCCCAGTCTATTTGAGACAACCAACGAAATCAAAGGAACACTGAAAAAATTGTGGATGCTCTTCCAAAAGTTGTCCTGCATAGGACAGATTCGGGGGGCTTCTCCTGCGATGGCCGGAGGGGGTCTTTTCACTTGGGACAGATCCCCCTGCGGATACGGGGGTCCACCTGTATGTGGATTTTAATTTTTTAAAAAAATAACCTTTCCTTTTGTCACCAGAACAAATTCAGACTCTGCCCTCCACACGAGCGTGATGCACCCCAACCCGCAGGACGCATACCTGGGCCCCTCCCAAGGAGCGCCCCCTCCAAATCGCAAAAGTGGTGAGTGGTGTTTTGTTTTGCAACCTGGGCAGAAGTTGGCCCTTGGGTACAGAGGCCCTCGGGTAAGCGGGGAGGGGGGAAATCTCCTTTCGCTTTGTCTTCAAGAACCTCGGCCTCCGGAAAGCGTGATGATGCTCTCGGGGGGGGCGTGCCTCCTGGATTCTGGGGGTGGGCTTTCCCAGACTTGATGGGTTTGATCACTGCTCTCATTAACCCCAGGCGAGTCTCAGGGGAGGAGGCTGACTGGAGCTACCTTTGCAGTAAAAAAAAGGCATTTTAAGTGTCACCGTTTCTCTTCTCCTCTAGGTTATCTGGACAGCGACATGGATAGCAAAGGTATCCTTCCACCCCCCAACCCCCAGCCTGCACTGTTCTCATTGAGCCTGGCTTTGCCCAGGCGTAGAGTTGTAAAGGCCAGCAAAACATGCCAAACAGGGAGCTCTGAGTTCAGATTCTGGTACCGCAGCAAACTGGATGGGCCTTTGTGAAGGCACCCGTTTTGCCCTGAATCCCAGGAGGGTCTCGTTGGCAGGGCCCTTAGGCGGCGCTCTTACGTGAAACATTTTTGAGTGCTATAAAGCATCTTATGCTCATTGGTAAAAACAGCCAGATTGATCATGAACCCCCTCTGCTGGCGCGGGGCTTGATGTTAAATAATAGTTGTCGCCTTAGAACAGCCGGGCTGGAATTTGACCAAGGGAGGTCTCCGGATCATCCAGTCCAGCCCCTGCCGAGGAGGCCCAGTGGGAATTCGAACTCTCATCCTCTGGCTGCACAACTTCACTCGTCCCATTGTTCAGCCACAATGGGAGATTCCCCCCGCCCCCTCACTGCCTCCTCTTCCAAGGTGTGACCATCCTCCTGAAATCCTCTGGCTGCACATATTCACTCGTTGTGCCATTGTCCAGCCACAATGGGAGATTCCCCCCCCCTCCCTGCCTTCTCTTCCAAGGTGTGACCATCCTCCTGAAATGAGGATGATCCTGTTAAGAAGGATTATATAGTCCAGGGCAGGTGCAACAGGCATCCTTACCGGATTGGGACTGTGCTAGCTTTACGGCAGGACCCAGAACACATCTTGTCTAGAAGATTCACACAGGGAACAACCAGCCGTTCGGCGTCAGCTTGCCTTCTAAAAGCAGGGGCGCACACCCGTCCGGCTGCCAGGTTTCTGACTCTCTCCTCTTGTTCCCCCACCTACAGTCTTTCTTTTCCAAGTGCCTTCCATTGAAGAGAGTCTTCTGGACGAAAACAAGCAGTTGCTGAAGCCCTGGGACACCAGGAAAGTAAGTCCGGGCCGTCGGTCACGCAGAAAGGAATTAGCGCCGGGGCTGGGCTGGCCCGTTTCGGGGAGAACGAAAACCCAGCAGCACGGCCGGAGCTAATGTTTGCCATCTGGCGGGGGCGCTTTGATTGGAATCCACACTTTAAATTTTAAAAATTGGATTTTATCGGATGATTTCAGTTTCCAGGTTGCAGTGTTTTTACTAAATTGCAATTGAAACCCATTTGAGCTTTAAAAAAGGAATTGTGGATCCAGGTTAGGGAAGCCTCCCGTATTTCTTCTCCAAAATTTGAACAAGGGAAGATTTTTCTTCTGAACGCGCTTCCAAAAAGCCTAGTTTCTATTTGCCAGCTGTGTTTCCTCCCTCTCTCCCCGTCCTTATTTCCAGTAATACTGCTTTTCTTTCCCCCTTCAGCTCTCCTCGTCTTCTCCCCGTCCAAGGTCCTGCGAGGTGCCTGGGATCAAGTAAGTCCATGGGAGGGCAGCAGCCGCCCGTCCCTGGTTTCTTAATAGGCGTTGCGGGACGGGTAGAGAGATCCATCGGTTGGGGGTGGTGGGAGAGGGAGAGGGGAGCCTGTATCATATCTACCTGAGCCGAGTAGACCTACCGTCCGGATTGCGGCGTTTTTATTAAATTCAGCTCTTTTGCTGAAAGGACTGGTCCTGTTTAGCCTTGAGAAAAGAAGACCGAGGGGAGATAGGAGAGCACTCTTCAAATCCTTGAAAGGGAGTCCTACAGAGGAGGGGGCAGGATCTGTCCTCGGCCGTCCCAGAGCACAGGACACGTCATGTTGGGCTCAAGGGACAGGAAGCCGGATTTAGGCTGAAGATAAGGAAAAAAACTTCTCAAGTGTTAGAGCAGTACGAAAACGGGACCCATGAGCTCAGGAGGGGGTGAGGACTCCAGCGCTGGAGGCCTTGAAGGGGAAATTGGACCGCCGTCTGTCAGATCTGCTTGGATTTGGGTTCCTGCCTTGAGCAGAGGGGTTGGACTGGATGGCCTCAGAGGCCCCCTTCCAACTCCATGACTCTGTGAATGCTTCCGTAAGGCTCTTCCCCAACGAGAAGGACAGATTTCTCTTTGATTTCTTCCCCTCCTGAGATTTCTTTCGGTCTCTTTGTCTCCAGCATCTTCCCATCTCCGGACCAACCTGCCAACCTGCCTCTGATCCCGGCTGCCCTCAACACGGGGGGATCCCTCCCGGATCTCACCAACCTGCATTTTCCGTCCCCGTTGCCCACGCCTCTGGACCCAGAGGAGTCGGGCTACCCCGGCCTGAGCGGCGGGAGCAGCACCGGGAATCTGGCCCACACCATGACCCACCTGGGCATCAGCAGCAGCATGGCCCTCGGTCCTGGCTACGACTCCCCAGGTGAGGTTGACAGCGCCGGGCCAGGTTTTGGGTGAGCCAAAGCGTGGACCAGGGTGATGTGTCGGGGCGAAGCACCCTCGAAACCTTTTGATAATAACCTTTTGTGGACCACTCAAATATGAAGAAGAAAAAAAAGAGAGCGAGCAAGTGTTCAGGTTATACAGAGCTCTTCATCAGCGTAGCTATTGCTGATAAGGACACCTGCAAGAATCAGAGGTTTGTTTTCTGTGTGTATTTCGGTGGTCCGTTAAAGACGTTATTGGATTTTGAATATTACACACAGACTGCGTGGTTCTGCTTCTTTTTTAAAAATACAGTCGAACTCCCGTATCCGTGGAATTGGCATCTGCAGTCATTTTATATGCAGTCTGAAAATATTAAAAATGTTAAAAGAAAAAAAGCTAGGCATACGTATTTTCACAATGTGTTTAACAGAATTGGACACTAGAGGGAGCCAGAGACCTTGCAAGATGTCTAGAATGGTCTCTCGTTCCCTCTAATGGCCATGGATCGAAAATGCATGATGGAAATACATATTTGTGGGTACAGTGGTGCCCCGCAGTGACGATAGTCCGTTCCGAAAAAATCATCGCTATGTGGATTCATCGCTATGCGGGGGCAAAAAAGCCCATAGGAACACATTAAAACACGTTTAATGCGTTCCTATGGGCACAAAACTCACCGTTATGTGGAAATCCTCCATGAGACTGCCATTTTTGCTGCCCGGTATGCGAGAAAAGGGCACGAAAACACTGCAGGCAGCCATTTTTTTCCCCCGGAGGCCATTTTGGAACTGCTGATGAGCTGTTTTGTAAAACATCGCTATGTGAAAATCGGTAAGCGAAACGCTTACCGATCATCGCAAAGCGATTTTTTGCCATTAAAAAGATTGCAAATCACTATGCGAATTCTTCGTTAAACGGGGCGCTTGTTAAGCAAGGCACCACTGTATATTTTTTTAAACCATGCTACATGTAGCGTTTGTTATCAAAATAACATTTGTTGTAATGCATATATTTCAGCTCCCCCAGGGGTGTGGGCTTGGAACCGATCCCCTCTTTCCGGGGGCTCTCCTGCATATCCTTTTCCGAGGAGAGAGAGGGTATCAACACCTTCATTGCTCCCGTTTTTTTTACAGTGTTGAGGTGGTATACCTGAGGGCCTCAGAAAGTGCCCCATGCCGCACTTCCCCCCCCTTTATCTGCCTGGAAGACATTCCACTCCATTTTTTATTTTTTCGTCCGGTCCTTTTTCTGTACGACGCGGCTCCGACCGCTGATTTGGCATCCGCACGACGGCGCGGGGATGGACCGGTGCGTCCCGTTTCCGCGTTGTTTGTGCATGTATCTTTTTTCCACTTCCTCCTTCCCATTTTAACTCATCTTATTATTTATGATATACATGCATCTATGTATATAGTGTACATATATATATATATATATTTCTCCCCCCTTTTTTTTTCGTCCCTACAGGGCTGGGGTCATCTATGCAGAGCTCCCTCAGTAACCCCTGCATCCAGTCCGCGCTTAGCAACCCCTCGCTCCAGGGCTCGCTCAGCAACCCCTCCCTCCGCTCCTCCCCAAGCTCCTCCTCCATCCCCTCCTCCATGAGCAACCAATCCCTGCCCTCCTCCCTCAGCAACCCCTCCCTCTCGTCCTCCCTCAGCAGCCAATCGGTGCAGTCCGCCCCCGGCAACC